CCCATGGACTTCAACATGTCCAGCTCTTTCCTCTCAACCCGCTGCCACTCATCTGCATCAGGACGGAGCATGGCCTCATGATGATTTGCAGGAGGAACTGACATGTCATAGGAGGCTGAGCAAGGGTCGTGCTGAACATCACTGCGAATGGAGAGGAAGGCAGCTTTGTAATGTATGTCGATGTCACATTGAAGATAGTCTTCAACATCCAGGGACATGGCAGTGGCATTGGGTGAGGTGTCTGACTCCAATGGCGGCATGTCGAAGAGGCCTTTGTGACACAGACAGGTGAAGTCACTCTCAATGTCGTCCCCTGGCCCTGCCTCCCGCAGCCCATCAGCCTCCCTCTGTATCCGAATCCTCTCATCCTTCCATGCACAGGCCGCCTCCTGTACCTTCAGCAGGTGGACACGGGCTCCCTCCATTTGATCTGCATATGCTCTACTGGCCTTTGTCAATGTCCGTGCACACACTGGCTGGTCAGAGACAGAAGAGTGAGTGGGCGGGGGCAGGGGTGAGGAGCAGGCAGGAGGGGCAATGGGTGTGGATGGCAGTGGTGCAGTGTCCAGTTGTGTTTGACATTCAGGCGGGGGAGCGAGGTTGTCCAAGACGGAAGGAGGGAACAGGAGGGAGGAGTAATCCATTGGCGTTGAAGGGACTTCATGTAGGGCATTGATATGGAATGTTCTCGTCAAAAATGACACTGCCTGAGGAGAAGAAATGATGAGTTTGTAGGTCCCGAACACGATACCCTCATTGCGAAGGTGGGTAGCCCATGAACAGGCATTCCCTCGACTTGGTCCCAGCTTCTTCTGCATCTCAATGGGGACTTGGGCAAAGCACCGTACGCCCCAGACACGAAGATGACTGACATCAGGTTGGCGCCTGTGAAACATCTTGAAGGGTGTGATGCTGGAGGGGAGAGTAGAGGTTATGGTGAGATTGTGAAGGTAGCCAGCGGTGAGTGCCACCTCGCTCCAGTAAGCCATCGAGAGTTGCGGCGGTCAGCATGGTGAGAAGTCCCTGTAGGGTGCGAATGACACGTTCTGCCTTCCCATTCTTCCAGTGCTCGTATGGTGGTGTGACATCGCGCTCGATCCCCCTCTCCTGCAGCTGCTGAACAAACTTCTGGTCCTTCCCCTCTAACTCCCCACCCCCATCGAACCGGAACCGCCCAACTTTCAAACCCAGCTTGTTTTCCCACTTCGCCTGAACCAGCAACCAAGCATCAAACACTTGATCCTTTGTCGTGAGAAGCTGAACGTTGACAATGTTTGAGAAGTCATCAAGGAAAATGATGAAGTACTGCTTGCTGTGTGGAGTTTCAACAGGGAAGGGGCCACAGAGGTTGCAGTGGATGAGCTCAAGGAGTTTTGTGGTCTTGGGGCCAGTGGATGATGGTGCTGGAGAGTGTGCGTGCTTGCCAATGATGCATGGCTCACATTTGGAGAGTGCATCGGTGGGCGAGAACGAGACCCCAGTTGTGGATTTGAGGAGACTCTGAGTCACCTCCTTGCCTGCATGACCAAGGCAGTGATGCCAAAGGTCCAAGGTGACAGCGACGGAGTTGAAGCATGCAATGTCAGGCACGGGCTTGAGAATCCCATCGCTGGCAGGCGTGGGAGGCCAGAGAAACTCAACATTGATGACAAAGACATTCCCGACCATGGGGCCCTGACCGAGCACCATGCCGCCCTTCGAAATGACCACCTTCTTGTCAGCAAAGAGGCAGTTGATGCCTTTGGAGACAAAGCGGCTGATGGAGAGCAGATTGACACATGCATTGGGAGCATGGAGACAGTCGTGAAGTTTGAGCATGGTCGACTCTGCATTGAATGTGAGACGCGCTAAACAGTCGCCTGCTGCATGAGTTCGTAGAGTCCCATGATTCGCTGTTTTTACATTGTGTGCTTTGTCAGGGCGGTAGCTCCAAAATAGTTCATGGGTGTGGATGAGGTGAGATGAGGCACCACTGTTGAGGAGCGTTGTCCAATTGTGCTCGACAAAGAGAGCAAGGTCAGCGAGGGATGGAGAATCCACTGAATCAATGGACGTGCACAAGAGATCTCTGATAAAGCATGTCGGTTCCACGGGAGCAGATGGGACGGAGGCAGATGAGACGGAAGCAAACGCTGCAACTTCGGACTTAACAGGCACAGGTGCCTTTGTGACGGGAGGGGCAGCGGTGACAGTGCTGGATGCATCAGGGTGGGGAGTTGCCCATCCATGGACCCCAGACCACCCCCTGCTGCTGACCGCTTCAGTGATGGAAAAGGCTTGGGAGGGGTTTGATGAGACCCAGGGACTGTTCTGCATCCTTTCCGGGACAATCTGGTATGGGGGAGG